CACACCCAAGACATCTGCACACATGATCAGGACAGCTGTGTCTGCGGAGTGGGACCACCCGTAGATGGGCTTCTGGGGAGAGTCCCCACTTGGCATCAGGGGGGCCGAGACATTTATCGAAAAGAAGACAGAAGGGTGGAGTCCACCACTTTCCAGGTATAACTGAGGAAGGCTCCAGACCACTGCGGAGACAGCCAAGCTCCACGCCACACCGACTTCCCTGGGCATTGGCCGCCAGAGGCTGTGCCCTGCTGGATGGACACTGCCCACCCTGCTGCCCCCTGGCCCCGGAGACCCCTCCTTGCAAGATGCTGATGGCTCCCTTGCCCACCATGCTGACTCCTGGACCTGCAGACTAACTCTGGAACTCAGGATTGTTATCCCCCATTGATTGCTATGTATATATGTTATATTTCTCTTAAATTGTTAGAGTGTGTGTAGGATGTTAATGTATGTTGATGCTCTACTTTGAGTGAACCTGCATTCAACAAAAGCTGAGTGCATAGCGTAGTTACTGAATGTGACTCTCGTCCGTTGCTCAGTGCTGGGCTGCTCCACAGGCAGCGAGCTGAGCAGTTGCACAGCTCACTTACAGGGAAGACTGCGTCACGAACATATGCTCGCAACATAAACCTAACATGTGTTAGTAGGTTTGGTCATATTGTGAGACCTAAACAAGATAATTGTGCCTACATGCAATTCTGTGAATTCGATGTTGCACCATGGGTTGTCTTTTCTTGTTTAGTCCCATAATTGACTCCTGCCAAAACTTACCTCCCTAAAATCTTGTTTGTTGCTATGTACAATTCTATATGTATTTACTGAAGAACAAAATGAACCTTATTAACAAACAAGGATTGTATATTGTGCCCAAAGACTCAGACTGCCCTCAGGCTGAGAAGCGGAAGATAAAATACAGTGCACAAAACGGCACCATGTGCAAAGGAAAAAAGAACATTTGGTTAATAAGACGGACAGGCTGAAATATAACACATGTATTGCCCTTAACCAAACCAAACCAGCAACCAGGATATTTGGTCCACGTACTTTTCCAGAAGACATTTTAACATCATGGACTTAGGTCTTCTTAGCAATATGCTCTTCATAAATACCCAATCCTAACAACGAAAAATGAGTGATTCCAGCAAATGTTGCCCTAGTTCTGCCAACTCCGCTCTGGCCTCCCGACCTCCAGGGGAATCTCCTCCTTCCATTAGTTGCCTGTGCTCCTTGTGCAACGACTTGGCTCGGATCGTTGCACTCGCCCAAGCCCAGTCTTCCGGAAGCCGCCGTCCTGTCAACATCACGGCCCCGCCCACTCCAGGTGCCCCACTTAAAAACCCGCAGGTCTGTCCCTTACATCCACGTCCACACAAGCACCCAGCCTGGACTCTCTGAGCCTGCCGTCCACTATCCTGGTCCGGGCTGCCAACGTCCCCTACCCCAACTTTCAGGATAGCCTCCCCACTGCCCCCAGCCTCGCCCCCAGCATCTGTTCTCTACGCAGCTGCAGAATGATCCGAAAATGCAAATCAACCATGTCTGCTACTTGACCCTTTTGCGTACTACCCTTTTCTCCCAGAGTCAAGGCAGAATGGATCCCCTGCCTGCCAGGCACGTTCCTCATCTGGCCCTGCCGCCCTCTCCGGCTTCAGAAAGGGCCACCTTGCCCCGGTCACCACCTCCGGCCTCTCTCTCAGACCCGCTAAGGCCCCAGCTGCGTGGCTCTGCAGGGGCTCCACACCTCCTCCGTGTTTTGGGCGGGGAGGGTGGCGGTGCCTGGCACTCCCAGGAGTCTGAGCCCTCCCTCTGCCTCCAGACAGCTCCCCTTATTACCCCCCTACAGTGTGTTCAGTGGAATAATGCCCCCCAAGACATCCACACCCTAACCTTTGGAACCTGCAAGGCAAGGACTAGTGCAGGTGTGACTAAGAACCCTGAGATGGGGAGACCGCCCCGGGTTACCCCGATGCGCCGGATGCAACCCCGAGTCCTTAAAGGTAGGGAACGTGCCTCGCCCATAGTCACAGAGACACCGGGACACGGGGCGGATCAGAGAGAAGCAAACCTGCTGGCTTGGAAGTTGGCGGAAGGGGCGTGCGTCAGGGAATGCAGGCGGCCTCCAGGAGGCAAGGAAGTGGGGTCCCCTACCGCCTCCAGGAGGAATGAGGTCAGGGCACAACTTGGTTTTGGCCTTGTGAGACCCGTGCATTTTAGACCCGCAGACCTTGAAGATAGTTTGTGTTGTTATAAAACCGAGTTTGTGCTAACCTGTCATGGCACCACAGGAAACATACAGTATTTGTGGTATTTGTAATCCCTCTAATATCAGTAATTATTTCTATCATGTGGTGGTTAGAAAACAAACTTCTGGTGTCAAACTGAACCAAGCTCCCCGCTCTCCCACTCACTAACCAGGCGGCTTTGGACAAGGTAACCCAAGAGACACGCTAAGCTTCTACCGCCTGACCTGTAAGGAGGGGAGAACAGCGCTTGCCTCCAAAGGTGGTGGTGAGCTCTCTGTAACACGGAGTACTCAGCAGAATGACTAGCACAGAGCAAGCTTCCAGTGCCTCTAAGCCACAACAAGTACTTGTCAGTTGTGTGGCTACTTCTTTTCCCCACAAGGTTATAAAGTCTGCAGAGACAGGCACCAGAGCTTTATTGCTCATCGCTTTATTCCCAGGGACACGCACAGAGCTGGACGGAGGAGGCATGCAACAGAGAGTGGATAAATGGATGAATGAGTTTATATGCATGCCGCTTCAGGTGCCAAGAGTTACACCGAGGCATAAGTCACCTAGTTAGCCCAACACTAGGTGCTGAGCAGCCACTACACATGCTAGGCAGTACGTGCTGATGAGCAGAAAGGAAAAACAAAAAGTGTCCCTTACTGCCCAAGAGCTGACAGAGCCCGGGGTTCTCAACAGGCACACGGGGTGACTGCATTAGACAGCACAGATGTTTTTAGAGAAAACCATCACATCTCCCTTGGGGGATCTGGAACACTTTCCTGGGGCTGGTGAGATGAGAGAGGGTTTTTGAGTCTAGGCAGAGTTTCCATTGGACAGGAGCAAATGAGGAGTCACCCTGAGGAGAGTCATCCTGGGGGTGGGTCAGTGGCACTGGCAAAGGTGCTGAAACAGGCAGACTGAAGGTGCATTTAGGAGGAACTGTGACTCCGGTAAAGAATTAATGGTGAGGAGTTGGGAACATAGCTGCAAGAGTAAGTTTGAGCCAGTTTTTAGACGACTTGGAACATCAGCTAAACACTGTGGACTGCCCCTTAAAGCACAGGGAGGGTCCGTGAAGATGTGTCACCCAGGCAGCGACACAATGAGACGGGTGTGTCAGACACGGGCAGAACTGGGCTGGACAAACTGTCTGATACGCCATGTGGGGCTTCAATTCCTAGCTGTTAAATAAATGGGAGAAAAATGAGATGGTAAGACACCATGAGGTTCCTTATCATCACTCTCAAAACCACTTTGGAATTTGCTGTTTTCCAGGCGTGGTCTGGATTCTTGCCCCTGACAGCCTTGGTCCCTCAGTCCGCTTTGTTCACCAGCCTGGTGAGCAACCACTGAGTCCTCCCCGGGGCCCTGGGCCGGGCGGTCTTCTGCTGGAAGCTCCCACATGACCTTACCCTAAGCCTCTCCCAGGGGTGTTAGCATCGGAGTCTCGAGCTCCCCGTGGTGCAGCATCTCATGGAGGTTATCTCAGGGTGCTGCGAGTGAAATGAAGGGTAAGGCTGGTCCTCAGCAGTCCTTGCCAAGAACCCCAAAATCTTAAGTCTGTGGGTGATAAGCTTCCCCACCTGGACAAAGAATGGCCTCCCTAAAAAAAGTGAGTTTTGTCGCATCAGGAGTTAACGCAGACATGGGGCCCAAACCCAGCCCTTTCCTGGGAGTCCCAGCTTGCAAACACACAGGTACAGGAGGCCCTTCTCCATCCTGGTTTTGTGATGCCAAACTCTACTATAAAGCCTTCACTCAAGAAAAGTATCAAACTGGATTTACTTTCATTACAAATAGCACCCAAGTAGTTCACAAGTGGTTCCTGAAATCAGTCACTGTGCACTTTTTTAAAATCTTAAATGTTTCCAAACTCTTTGGAAATTTGTAGCAATTGATACAGGTTTTTAAGTTTAGTATTACTGCTCATGTCACATTTTCGCCTGATTTCCTATCTTTTGTGGTATCCTTGATTAGCAAGGCACTCGATTTTATCTTTTGTTGAGGCCCTTTGAATGTAGCAAAATGATGAAATGATTCATTAATCATAATAAAAGACTTCAAAGGGATTCAAGTTAAACTTCAGGTTTCGGAAGAGCATACTAGACAGTCAACTTCTTGTATTTCAGCTTCAGGACAATGAGCCTTGTGGAGAATTTGGCTAAAAATGCCTGATGAGTATGTTAGTCACATCTAAAAGTCATCTGTTGTCCACATGTTCACATCATATATTGCATTTCACCCATCCATTTATTATGTAGCAAGATACAGTTTAGGCTATTCATTTCTACTGTCCATTTCTTGAACTGTAAATGAAAAATAAAGTGAATTCTTTAGGGCAGGAGCCTTACCAAACCCAGAGAAACCAGTTCCTGGCAGGTGAGTGGAGCTTTGCCTATGGGGGCTCCAGTTTGAAACAAAGTTGCAATCCATCAAATGACTGGGTTATAGTATGTTTGCAGGGGAGGAATCTGAATGGCTTTACTGCAGGGCACCACCAGGAAAGCTGGAAGCTAGCACTTAAAAACTCAGATCACCAATAGCTTACAATTGGAGAGTTTTAGAGGCAAAGAATAAAAATTTTTTAAAAAATGACTAAGGGGTTTAGGGTCGTGTGCTGTGTTGACTGCTCAGTTCCTGTGCAACTTTCAGAAATATTCTTAATCTCATAAATTTAGTTCTTGGTGGCATCCTGTCCAGGCTCTTTGTGACTGTGCCCTGGTGGTCTTTTCTGTTTACAGATTTCTGCCAGATATCTTGATGCTTTCACAAGCCACCTACCCAGGACCCTACTTCACCACCTGCCTTTTCCTCTGCCACTTTCCCATCGTCTTTTGCAGCCTGATGTTTCTCCAATTTAGCAATCAATTCTTTCGCTGGATTGAAGATGCCGTTGGTGGGCTGGTCACAGACATAGCAGCGAGGGGACGTGCGGAAATGCTGCAGTGCACAGCTCTCGCAGAAATAATGCCTGCACTTGGTGACAACCGGGTTTCGGAAGGCCTGGCGGCAGATGAAACAGCTGAAGGGTAGTTCCTGACCATCACTTCCCACTTCATAGTTTTCGTCCTCAGAGACACCGTAGCGGCCCTCTTCAAGCTCACGTTCGATCTGCCACCCATGTTTATAATCCGATCGGTCATGGAGGAATTTGCAGCTGTCTCCAAAGCCGCAAAAGCCAGTCTCCTTATAGTCCTTACACACATCGGGCTGGTAATCCCAGCGCACAGTGGCCCGCAGGTGCTCGGGAGCGCGGATGGGGCCCTTCCGCACCGAGCCGGACGCATCCCTGGGCTTCGTGTATTGCCAGTACTTGCTGATTCCCCGATAGATCTTGTCATCTTCCTTGCCCCGCAGCTCCTCCTGGCTCGTGCGGTTGCGCCCAAAGACAGCCTGTGCGCCCCGCTCCTCCTCGGGGTCCAGCTCACAGCCGGCAGTCGCCCCCATATCCTCGGGCCCGGCGGGTTTCGCAGAGCGGGTGGACTTGTAGACCACACGGGGGGCCTCCTCCTCCCCCTCACTCCCCGAGTCGCTGTAAGCCACCTCCCGCAGGGCGCCGCCACAGGTCCTCTGGATCATCGGCTCGCAGGCCTTCGCCCGCCGCTCCTCGCGGCGAACCACGGAGCTGCCCTCGTCCCCGCTGCTGCTGTCCCCGGGCTCGGGGTCGCAGGCTAGGCGCTTCCGGAGGCCCACGACCCCTCTGCGCCATGGCCTTTTGAACAAGAAGGGACACACCTGGCCGGTGGCCTCTCCGGCAGAGGGCGGCTCCGCCATTGGCCCGACGACGTTGGGCCGTGTCACGTGCTCAGGGTCACGCGGGGCTGCGTCGCGTCAGGTCACGCACGCACGCAGGAGACGGGGCGGGGGTAGAGCGCTGGGGGCTCGACCGAGCACCGGGAACCGGACTGTGCGGAGAGAGGGCTGCGGCATGGCTCCCCAGTGAATTTTTTAAGATAGATGTTTTTATTACATCAATATGTTCCTGTGCGGGCGGGGCTTCAGTTTGCTTCTTGCTTTCACAGGATGTCAATCATCTATAGAAATTGTCCAAGAATGATTTACCAACCACTCTCACACTCGCGCCAAAAAAGCCCCAAGGCCTCCATTTTCCAACCAAGCAGAGGATTGTCTTCAAACCAACAATTCAGAAACATCTTTTATGTTATACGTCCATGAATTTGACCTTATGTTTTCAAAGTAACTAAGTGTCTAAATGGATGGATTTTGTTTAATTTTATTTATTTTAGAGAGAGGGGAGAGGGAGGAAAGGTCAACGTGTGGTTGCCTCCTGCGGGCCCCGCAACTCGGGACTTGGCGTGCAACCCAGGCATGTGCAACCCAGGAATCAAACCAGTGACCCTCTGATTCACCGGCCAGTGCTCGATCCGTGGAGCCACACCAGCCAGGGCAGAATGGATGAAATTTTTAAAAAGGTAAAAGATAGTATGCGTTTCGCGTTAATAGATTTTGGGAACAATGATGGCAAAGTCTAAAGGATGAACACACAATCAAAAAATAAGGAATTCTCCTTTTGAAATACACATTTAAAGTACATGGCCTTCCCTTTCTAGCAATGAATTTAATGAGGGCCCGCTACGTGGAAGGATGGGGGGCGTGAACAGCAATGAAACACCCCCCCCCCCCGCCCCCGGAGGGGCCCACAGAACAGAAGGAAATAGGCATCTGAGTGCCCGTAAGGCTGGGCAGGCTGCGAGGAACGCACGCCAGGGGTGCCCGGGGCAGGGAGACTGCCCGGACAGGCGGTCTCTTCTCACCGGTGGAAGCAGGAGGAGCCTCACATGGGGGTTCATTTAAAGTAGGTCCTCGGAGGTAGGTAGGCTTTTGGCACCCATGGCATACCAGGAGAGGCAGTCCCGGTCAAGGACAGCAGGGCCACAGGCCAAAAGCATGAGCAGGACACATAGCTCTGAAGCAGCTGGGAATGTGGGAGACGCTGGAAGTTGGGAGGGGAGGTGGGCGGCAGGGCATGACAGCGCCTACCTTGGAAACGGTAAATTAGGGGCGGGTCCAATGCAGTGCTAGGGAGTAAGGACACTTCTCTGCAGAAGATGGGTACAGGGAAGGTTTGAACAAGGAAGTACTTTGCAGACACCAGTCTGTTGATAAGTCAAAGGAGCGCATGCCCGTCAGAAGAATGAGGAAAGAGTCTCTGGGAGACGAGTGTGCCGCCTCACACAGAAGGCGGGTGGGCTTCCACCTGAAAAGAGGTGGTGCCGACAGGAGGGAGAATGGGCAACGTCCAGCAGTTAAGTCCACATTTGGTAACTGATACCATCTCGGGGCAAAGATGGTTCAAAACCTGAGGACAGTGGGGAAACAGGGACCGAGTACCGGAGGATAGAGAACACAAGAGAAAATGCACGTTTTGAAAAGAAGTAATTGATGTTTTCTTTTTTTAAAAAAGCGATACCTGATTTGAGTCTTAAAGTTTTAACGTTCACTAGTTAGAAAAAGGAGGCATGGTCTCTAGCAAGAGGGGACAACATGAGCAAAGCCACAGAGGCGAGAGCTCTGCAACCATCAACCCAGGCAGGGACGGGGTCGGAGGCGAGACTCGGGGCCACAGGGGCAGGAACGGAGAAGAGGGGAGAAAGTGAGGGATACTTAGGAGGGAAAATCAATAACCCGGAATGATGTGGGGAGGAGGGAGACAGGGGTTCAAGAAAGTATCTCAGGTTTCAAGCTTAAGTGGCCCCTGGGATTTTGCTCCCATTTAACATGGAGACTAGAGGTGGAGAGAAGACGAATCAGGGAAACGCGCTTGATGCCGCGTGGACCAGGCTGAGTGTCTCCCACTGGGAGACAGCGGGGCCCATTTGCAGCTGGAGGCAGAGGGGCAGAGCTGAGCCTAGGGGATGAGGAGCTGGCAGATCGATGTGCCAGGTGCAGGCAGTGTGGGCAGCGTCCCTTTGAGAGAGCGAGGAGAAGGGGCACACGCGTCTCTCTCCATAGGCCATAGAACCAAAGGCTGAGCACCATTCACATCAGAAGAAAAGAAACAATCTGGAAGCCGTGTCATATAGAGGCATCAACAATACCATACGACAGAGCTAACAACTCAGACAAGCAGGGGAGTCCAGCATTAAGAGACCACTTAACGATTCTGCTTTGAGCAAAAATTCTGCCTTTCTTTTATTCCTACCAACACATGGAAATGTCTCGCTGCCTGAAGGCGAGGCTCTTCAGCCTCGGAGCCTACTAATAAATGGTTAAGACTTCCAGTGTCATTAATGAACAAAAACCGGACCTTTAGGAAACTAACCAAACCGACGTAATGGAACAGTGAAACAGCACTAGGCTGCCTTCCCCGAGGTTCTCCACTGAACTTCCGAGTTCTGCCTGAGCAGCCCACAGGGCTCTTTCTTAGCAACTTCCATAAATGTAGCAAGCGAATGACAGCACCTGACATGGGTCCCCTGGACCAGCTGACACCACCCCTAACAGAAGCCCAAGAAACACGGCAGCTCAATCAGCTCAGACAGGCATGGCAGCGAACATGATCTGTCTCCCAGGAGCTCTCCCTCCCACCGCTCTGTAAAATAATGAACGTCCAGAACATTTTGGCCTTCAATTATTAAATGGAGCGACTTATGTCACCAAGGTCAAATAACCTTCAGGCTTGCTGACCATCCTTCACAGCAGAAATGCCCCATGGTGCACCGGGAACACTGAGCCAGGCTGGGGAGGGGTGGGGAAGGGAGGCAGGGCCAGGGCCAGACGCCTCTGACCCTTAATCACAGGAGAGAGTGGCTCATTCACGGCCTCCCTCCCCCCACCCCGCCCCCACCCGCCTGCCAGCCCCCCGGGGAGGTTGTGTCCTTCTTTCATTTCTTGTGTCAGATTTCGGGCTGACACGTGGTAATTGATTCCGCTGCTGGTTAGACGGGTGTTAAGTGGGTGGGATGGAGTTTCAGTGAAAACAAATAGCACTTCATGGGTCTGACCTTTCCTCTTCAGAGCTTTTGTTGTGGTCGGCTCGGGGACGCACAGATCAAAAACGGTGTGAGCCCGTTGTGTCTACGTCTGCAGTCCCCCCGATGCACCTTCCTCAGCTCCCAACGTGCCGACAACAGCCAGAGCAGCTCGGTGTCAGTTCTGGCTTAATGACAGCTCGGCAGCAGGTGGAGGCTCCGACTCACACCTGAGGTCTGGTGTCCAGAGGGACAGAGAGGGCTGGGCGTGGCCTGAGCCTTCTGGGAGAGCATACCCTCGTGGAAAAGCCTCCACCGGAAAGAGAACCGCCCTGGCCCTTGGCCCGATGGCACGTCTGGCCCAAGCGCTGCCTCCACTTGGTGGCACAGGCTCAGCGTTCTGCCCTGTCCGCCGAAGGATGCATGGACACTACACCTCGTGTCGTGCGAGGTTCAAAGTGGCCCCAATAAAATGACTACTTTTGGGTCATCATCCTACATTGTCCATGCATTTTTCAGCTCCCACTGTAGGACTGAAGGGCGCATTTCTCCAGGGCGGGGAGGGCCGGCTGTCCTCTGCAGGTGCTGCCCCTGGCTGAAGGAGCCGCCTGCACAAGATTCTTGCCTGCTACTTGCCATCCAGCGACCGACTGACAGGTCAGGAGCATGACAGCCTGACCCTCCTGTCCCAACTCAGTGTGACTCCGAAAGGCCACACCGGCCTCCATGGGATGCCGGCAGATTGCCCAGCCCCTCCCCAGCCCATTCCTACTCCTTCCTTCCTCGCTCCCAGAAGTGCCCCTAACAAACATTCAGCGCTCTCGTGTCCCCCTCTGAGCCCTTCCCTGGGACCCACCCTGATGCCAGCCATCAATCAAGGAAGGGGACGCTCATGGATGAGATTTTTGGAGCAGGATCATGCCCTACCCACCAGCAATGAAGACCCCATCACATAGCCCATAGCTCAAAGTAGCAGTACAAAGGCTAAAACTTTCAGCAAAGTGAACTGCGGCTGTATATCCAGCAGGAAATGCACAGCCGGGGCCAAGATTCAGCTGTTTGAGAAATACGTACGGGAAAGAGTCATTATAAGGTGAGATTGGATGGCTGTTGCTGAGGGCAACTGATGTTTGGGAGAGGGACAACAAAGCCTGAGGACATTAACCATCAATTAAATTCCAAGCACGAGAGCCAGAAGACGACGTTGCCAGCACAGGAAAGGACTGCGCTATGTGTATTCAAATCACAGAGAAGGCTAAGGGCCGGGCCCGGGACTCGTAAAAACGGCAGAGCTCCCCAACCCGGCATCTTAAGCCCCAGCCAGGCGGCCCTGCTGCGGCAGAACTCAGAGCTCCTGCTAGGCAAGAACACCGAGCTGATGTATAGGGTGGAGCCCTCCGATCTGAAACCCCTGGCACCCGCTGAGCTCTCGGAGGCCCCTGTGGTGGACCAGGCCTCTGCTCTGCTCAGACACACGGAGCCGAGCCCCCCGCCCCGCAAGATGCCTGCGCGCCCACAGTCACACACACTCAGGACCTGGCCCTCCCCCTCTCTGGCCACCAGGCCATCAACTAGCTTAAGTCACAACAGAGGGAGCCAGGGAAATGCTGGGCTTTCTAAGGGAGAAGAGGGACAGGTCCTGAAGGAACTATGGCCGCAGGCAACACGTACCGCAGGAGCCAGGACAGGACGGAGGGCTGGACCCTCAGGCTCTGGAGAGGGGACAGAACACGAAGTTGGATAAGGAAGAGTTAGTCAACACGGAACATCCTCCTGGGACGTGAGATTCAACACCTGTTTGAGTGTGCAAGCGTTGCCATAGCAAAGTGCCACAGACCAGTT